ATATATATATATATATATATATATATATATATATATATATAAATAAAAGATGTATTAGGTGGACGGCTTTCTTTTGATGGTAGGTCAAGATTGTGGGGGAAGAGCTACACAAACACATCAAATTCAGTCCCGTAATTTCAGAAAATTTTGTCTACTTCTAATCATATTAACACTACTTTTTTTGGTATTAAATAGGAATATTTATTTTTATGGTTTGAATTGAACGGATTCTAATCAAAACTAGTCAAAATCATTTCCATAACTAATGTTTTGATGCTTACTTTTTTAAAAACTAAATCATTCATGGTATGACTCGGCTTTTATGGTCATCAAAAACTAATCGTAAAAGAGATAATAATACAAGATCATTCTCTCTGTGTTTCCAGCATTACTTTGACATTTTGTTTCTAAATTTACTTTAAGTTAAGCCTATGATTTGAAAACCTAAAAAAATGTCCGTTTGACCATATATCATCTCCCTGATCATATCCACAGTCAACAACATTTTTTTAGAAGAAATCAATTACAAAAAAAGTTCCCGTACAGAGAAAAACATAACAGAAAACCTACAAAAAACAACACTGCTTAAAATCAAAATAAACAACAAAAACCAACTACGACAAGAAAACGAACAACAAACCCCCAAAACCTACACAACCGAGAGAGACACGAGGAGATCCCCGAAAAACAACACAAACAACTCTCTTAAGAGACTGCAAAAGCGAACCGGGTTGTTCGTCGGCAATGATAAAAATGACACATGACCCTGAAGCAGAAAACATTTTTAATTACTTGAATTGTAATTTTCATTTTTTTTATCCTTAGAAACAATAAAATATGTATGTTTACACACACATATATATATATATATATATGTACCTGTAGCTATAAATGTAATAAATAAAATGAAATTAAAAATGAAATGAGGAGATTATTGAGTAAGATGAAAAAGTGATGTAAAATTTGATTTATTTTTAATCATTTTAATTTGTACTAAACGACCGCTAATAAAATTTGGTTACAAAAAAAGCCATAATCTAGGCCTTCATTTCATTTCAAGCTTCTTTATGTCCCCACAACAATGATAGCCTCCCAATTACACGCGCCGCCGTCGCCGCGTTTCTCCTACCTCTTTACAAAAAAACTCACCTCTGCTACCATCATCAGTATACCGTACATAAAAAACATATACCACCCCGAAATACGGCTCACCTACCCACCTAACGCCGTCTTTATTTCACGGCCTACCGTTATTTTTATATGTACACAGCATAGTTAATAGTAGAGCAACTCAACACGTGTGTTAGAACTCCGTCAATGAGACGTTATATCCACAGTCATCTCTTGACGGAGAATCTAACGGTGACGGCAGTTGTCTAAGCTTCTGAAAATACTCCGTTATGTTGATACCATCTGGGTTCGGCGTTAACTCAAGGTCGTCTCTTGACGGAAGAAACGGAGGGCGTAACACTTCCGTTAGTAGCTCCCATTGCAAGCCGCTGAAGAACGGGTGTTCTTGGATCTCACACGCGCCTCCGGTGTACCCTAGCCGTTGAGTGGGTTCTTTCGCGAGTAGCTTCGTGATCAAGTCCGTCAACGGCGTTGGTTTTCCGGTGAACTTTGGTGGCAACATTAGTATTCTCCCAAACGTATCTTTTCGGTTTTTCCCACGAAACGGTGTCGTACCATATAGCATTTCGTACGAAAGGATCCCTAATGCCCACCAGTCGACGGCGAACTCATGGCCGTCGCCACGCACCACCTCCGGTGCCACGTACTCCTCCGTTCCGACGAATGAATTCGAGCGTTCGCCGTTTGAGAAGCTCGCATTCTTACGTGTCATGGGAGATACACGTGCGCTCTTTGCTTTCTTCAACTTGACATGCGTTTTCTCGCGTCCCATCATCGGAAACAAACGTGTTAGTTTCCGGTGGTGTTTATTTACTTCTGGCTGGATTTCCGGCAGCTCTGAAGAAGAAAGAATTAACGACTTCAATGATTTCGGGGCGAGGGTACGTGAGAGATCGAAGTCCGTGAGAGTCACGTGACCCGAATGTTGAATCAAGATGTTTTCAGGTTTCAAATCACGGTACACGATTCCCATGCTATGAAGATGCTGTAACGCACAGACGATTTCCGCCAGGTAAAACCGGATGACGGCCGGAGAGAAAACGCGGTCCATCTGACGGTGGCGGAGAACGTTAAGGTCACCGCCGGGGCAAAACGGGATAGCCCAAGCGAGGATTTCTTCCGTCTCGAAGGCTCCAATTAAGGAGGGAAGGAATGGGTGGGGTTTCTGATTCAGCCCTTCAAGAACCGAGACTTCCCACCGCGCACGGCGGTCGGCGTCCAACTTGGCTTGAGGACATAACTTCTCGACGACTTTGAGGGCGAAAGGACAGTTGGCAGATGGGTCAGTGAGGTGATTGTAAACGAGGAAGACTGTACCCATTGCTCCATTGCCTAAAACTTGAATGGCGCAGAGGTGGTGAAGGTGGAGCTCCGGTGACGGTGGCGCGGCCATTATCGGAGAATGGGTGGTGTAGTTGGAAGAGGAGGAGGAGAAATGTGGTGGATGGGGAAGGTGGTGTGCCACCCTTAAATTCCTCTTGGATATTTACACAAATTTATGCTGGGAATCGCAGTATTTTAAAATGGGGGGATAAGGGTTTGTCTGGTAACAAATTGTACTCGACTGTGCCACAACTATTATCTTTAAGCCGTAAACAAGAATTATTTATTATTATAATTATTATTTTATTATTAATATATACTGCTATCCTAAATCAAAGCAAACTCATCTCACGTTGTCGTTACTTCACTTCATTTAACCATCATTCAACTTCATTCCTTACTCCAATTAATGTGCCATCATATTTATTTGTTTGCATTTAAATGATGAAAAACAAAAAAAAAAAAAAAAAAAAATATATATATATATATATATATATATATATATATATATATAATCACCTCTTACAAATAAAACCATATATAAAAGTTGATGGAAAAAATGATACATATTGACTAGTAAATGCCAAGCATAATATATATAAAACAAAGAATATCTAAACAACAGATTTGCAAGAAGCATAACCCAATAACCACAACGGAACCCAAAACCAAAAACCACCTACCAAACAAAGACGACACTAACAAAAGCAACCACACGACTTAAACTCTAAAACTCAACAACGCTAAGGGGGAAAAACAAAAAGTGGGTAACAACTTATAACAAGAAATTATGTCAGCAAAGAAGTATAACGAGCTATAATTCCCTAGTGAGAAATCAAAAGCCCGAAGAGATTAACCATTAAGCCGCCTCTCCCTTATTAATCCTACCAAGCATAATATATTTTAGGAAATCTTCCAGGGTTATGACATCCTTTTTCTGATTTATTAGAGATAAATTATTAATACAATTTGTTTTGTTTTATTTTCTAGCTAGTTTATAAGATGGATCAATTTAATACTTATATGTGTAAAGTTCTTTTCTAGTCAGTTTATGATTAAATAAAAAAAATTATATCAAATATGTACTAATATAAATTTGGAAATGGTATATTGATATTAAAATTGAAATAAAGAAAATTAATATGAAATTTTATGTAAAATCCAAATAAAGGCTATAACTCGTAGACACCAACTTTATGAAGCTACCCCGTGAATTTTACTTTTTTCCATTTTCATTTTTATATTTTATTAAGTAAATTTATATATAAAAAAAATGAAAATGGAGTAACACGTGTACGGGACAAAACATCACATGAGGGGTACCCTAATTTAAAGGAATGGCCGAATAGGGAACAGGGACAAATTTGTCTTGAATTTTGGGGAGTTTTGGAATGTTGCTCATACTAAATTATATATTTATTATAATTTTTTTGTTTAATTATTTATACACGTTATATTTTAAAATACACAGGATATGCGACAATTACTAAAATGAATATGTATTAACAATTTTTTCTTATTAACCTGGATATTCAACATGTTATGTGAGCAGACTATTCCTAGAAGAACCGTCCACTTTACAAATAATATGAAGTTACTGTATTTGAACAATCATAGACACAAAAGAATTTTTATTTCTTTTTGGATTTAAATCGAAAAATGAGGATGGTTTGTATTTGATCGTTCATGTATATATATATATATATATACGGAATGAATAAAAATATTATTTTTAATAGAAAGAAAATTAAAATATTGTTAAAGTTGGGGTGGGCGTATCTTTCCAAATATCTAAAGGTGTATTTGATATAACTACTAAAAGTTTAGCATGTGAATACCAACGTTGCTATTTTTAAATGGTCCATGAATTATAAAGTTTTATTTAATATTTAAACAATATTATTAAATCATAAACTACTATTTCAGAGGAAACAAACGAACTTGGGTTATTGCAAACTAATTTCCGTTAAATCGTTATAAAAATATTTTTTGTATTATTAATTTTAATCTTGAGAATGCAGATGTATTTCTTTATTTAACAAATAAATTAGTTTTTCAACAAAATTGTTGTTACATGTTTAATTGATAGTAATTTCTTTGTATCAGAGTTGGGAACCGGACAGGAGTGTAAAATCCATACCGGTTGGAGAGGGAAACAAATTTTGTCTTATAAGGAACTTGATATATTCTATCAGACACGTTTTAAAAATATGAGTTTGTGTGTGTAGACAAAACGAACAATATCTAATACAGTTTTCTTGGATGTTACATGTTCATTTAGAATTATAATTTGAAGTTCAAAGTGTTGTAGAATAATTGTTTTAAATTCTTAGATATTCTAATTAAATTAAATTTGTGTTGCATTTGTTAGAAATTGATTTTAAAGAATTATTTAGGTCAAAACCTCTATTGATTAACTTGCTAATCTCTTCCTTCTACTCATCACCAACCATTAGAATTTATGTAATAATCAACTCTTTTTTAATTGATTTTATAAGTTAGTAAATAAAATGATTTTTGAATTATTCATAAAAAACGCGAACATATTTATGAACACCTACGTAAAAAGTAAGATTCTTTTCAACATTCACGTGGGTAATTTTGATACGATCTAAAATTATGAATTGAATTCGATTTTCCTTCATCTATCAACTACAAAAAATTCTAAACACGAAACACGTTTTCTATAAAGATTCCACAGGTAAGGAATAACGAATACAGAAGGCTTTTCTTGAGTCTTCGATCCACCACAAATGGCAACAAGTGAAAACAATGATATCTTATTCATAAAATATATCCTCTTCTAATAATAAGATATTATTAATCATGTTTACCTCGTAATTATATATATATATATATATTAATCATGTATATAGATAGATAGATCCCAAAAGCACTCTTTAACTGTATATCTCTTTGATCTTCTTAAGCCAACAAGCTCAGTTCGCTTTTCACCAGCTCCCCATGACTTTCTTCCATGAGTTTCATTTAAAATTTATTTTTAAATTAAATAATATAAAATAAATAAAATAAGTGGGAGAAATAAAGAGGGAAATGGAAATGTTATTTATATTATATATTTAGCTTTTGGAAAGTTCTTTGGTTAATTATTGAACACAAACTTATCATATGGTTTGTTATTGTTCCACTTTCTTGTAACATTACTCTCTTATTTAATTCAATTTATTTTTACTAATTTATGTTTAGTGCCAATCTTATTTCATAAATGATAATAAATAAATGTCACAATAATTGATCTAAATTCAATTTTTGTTAGGCGGACAATTGAAAATGCTGCGTTTTCAAGTTTAGTTAGTTTAAAAAAACATATAACCATCAATTATTTTGTCATTTATCATACGATACAGTTTCTAGAAATACCATTCAATTCGTCGTTGATTTGAGTTTTAAAGGGCATACTAATATCGTTGCACCTATTATTGATCTATGTCTTCTTTAATGTCGATTCAAGGTGCTTTAAGTTTCTTTAAAATTTTACTGTCCAGTTATATTAAAGATGGACAGGATTACAATTGAGAGCGAGTCTATGAAATGGGTCATAGGTTGTGATAGTCGAGGAACCACGTGCATACCGTCGTAAACGATGTAACCAGTTATTGTTGTAGGAAGATTATGGTGACAATTGTAGGATATATCATGATAAGTAGAACAATCAATTATGATTCACATATGAAGAAACCATTCCCGTTTCACTAGTTGAAGTACTTTTATCTGTATAAATGCTTTCTGTACAGAAAGATAAAGAAATCATAGAAATCCGGGGCCATATGTACCTTGCCTACAAACTAGAGTAGCTTATCATAGCATTTCATAAATTCATTCAAGTTGGTTTAAAATATGAATAAAGTGTTAGGCCACCACAATCCTTCAAAAGTAATTTCTATATTAAATACGAAATACGATTTGCACAAACAGCAATGTCCAAAAAGTTTGAAAATAAGATCACGACTCCTCAAAATTGAAGTCACCGTATAAAATTTCGATTTTTATACTTACATAAATTTCTTATCAACGACATATATAATTACCAAGAGGAAAGCCTTTTCTACACTGTACTTTCTTCTGCTTTTATTCACGTTTTCGTAGTACCGTCATGATTTTGGTATAAAATTAATTTGTTAACAATCACACAATTCCGTTATGCTTGTTGATGTTCACTTTACGTTTTTCTAACCCGCTATCTTTCAAATTTATATTTTGTAATTAATATTTTCATCATTAATAAAAGGAAAAAAAAATCAGGTTCTGACACCTGTTTTAATTGAATTTTGATCTTACGGTTATTTACAGAGATTTTTTGAGTCTGTAGTTATTTTGTATCACTTGTTTTATTTCTTTTAATAAAACTGTGTCCTTTAAAAAAAATTAATAATAGAATTTTTTTTTGTTTTTTCCATGAATATTTAAACCTAATAATTATGATTTGAATTATGGGCATAAAATAGTGACAAATTTATATTCCATTGAGGAGAGTGAGGTTGACGTGTAATGGAATAGTATTTGGAAAATATTAAAAATAAAAAATAAAAAATAAAAATAAAAAATAAAAAGTGATAGGTAGCACAAAATCTTGTAGACCAACTCCCTTTAGGCCATCTTTTAAGCCTATGTGTGACATAATATCCCCACGATGGTCTTAAAATAAACCCATCAAAATTACTTTTGGTCTTTCATAAATGTGTTTTTGGTCGGCCACCCATTTATACCTATTTATTTACCAAATTGTTATCCGATTTATAACACCTTCTAGAAAAATAAAATTGTTTGAAGTTTGTAAGTTATACTATTTTGATCAATATCTGAACATAAATAAACAAGAAATTAAAATATATTGAGAATCAGTGAAACATGTATAAGTTTATAATGTGAAACAATAAAAATGAACTACACCCTATGTCATTTCACATTGTGAAACAATACATATTTGTAAATTTCATAGTGTGAAATAACTTGATATGAAATATTATTCTTAATCGTATTCTTAGATGGAACTAGTTGAATGGTGAAAAACAATCATGTGAAGTGATATTTTTAATCACAGTCTTAGATGAAACTT